GGTGTTGCCACTATTATTGGAAAGATAGGGCTGGGGTTTGCTGTGGTGACATTTCTTGTGTTAATAGTCAGATTTCTGGTGGATAAAGCAAATCACCATCAATTCACCGAATGGTCGTCCAGTGATGCATTAACTCTTCTAAATTACTTTGCCACTGCTGTAACTATAATTGTTGTTGCAGTTCCTGAAGGACTACCTCTGGCTGTCACATTGAGCCTTGCATTTGCAATGAAAAAGTTAATGGACAATAAAGCGTTAGTGAGGCATCTTTCTGCTTGTGAGACAATGGGTTCAGCATCTTGCATCTGCACGGATAAGACAGGAACACTAACAACAAACCATATGGTAGTAAATAAAATATGGATTTGCGGAAAGGCTAAAAAGGTAGAAAATGATACAGGTGGAGATGCAATAACGGACATATCAGAAAGTGCACTGGACTTTCTTTTGCAGGCAATATTTCATAATACAGGAGCTGAGGTGGTTAAAGGCAAGGATGGAAAGAAATCTGTTCTGGGTACACCCACAGAATCTGCAATATTGGAATACGGATTACTTCTTGGTGATATTGATGATAAAAAAAGGGATTGTAATATGCTGAAGGTTGAACCTTTCAATTCAGCAAAGAAAAGAATGTCAGTGCTTGTTGCTCTTCCTGACGGCAACACCCGTGCGTTCTGCAAGGGTGCATCTGAGATAGTTTTGAAAATGTGTGACAGGTTTATTGATTCCAATGGTGAAATTGTTGATATGTCAGAAGAACAGGTTACAAACATCATGGATGTCATTAAGGAATTTGCTGATGAAGCCTTGCGTACTCTTTGCTTGGCGTTCAAGGATATTGAAGATGGTTATCAAGAAAATAATATCCCCGATCATGGCTACACATTGGTTGCAGTCGTTGGAATCAAAGATCCAGTTCGCCCTGGGGTTAAAGAGGCGGTTAAAACTTGTTTAGCTGCTGGAATTACTGTAAGGATGGTCACAGGGGACAATATTAATACGGCTATAGCCATTGCTAAAGAATGTGGTATACTAACTGCCGATGGTTTGGCCATTGAAGGCCCAGAATTTCGCAACAAAAGTCCTGATGAAATGAGACAAATACTTCCTAGAATTCAGGTATGTTTTTCATTGCGTTATTTTATCCTTGTAGATCCTTCTCTTTGAATACAGTTTGCTAAAAATGTGCTTTATATATTGTATATNAATACTTCCTAGAATTCAGGTGTGCTTTTCATTGCTTTATTTTATCCTTGAACATCCTCGTCTTTGAATACAGTTTGCTGAAAATGTTCTTTATATATTGTATGCAGGTTATGGCTCGATCATCCCCTACAGACAAGCATGTGCTGGTAAAGAATTTAAGAGGCATGTTTAGAGAAGTTGTCGCAGTTACTGGTGATGGCACAAATGATGCCCCTGCTCTGCATGAGTCAGATATTGGACTGGCCATGGGTATAGCAGGAACAGAGGTTTGTAAATATGCTCCTGCTCTGGGTTGATATGGTCATATATACCATTTTCCTGTTGCATGCTCCAGTTTGAAAGTTTTTGCCTTCACTTCTCATATATGGGGCATAAGCATGCTTAAATGCTCTTACCAATTGCAGTCTTCTTTATATTCTATATTTTTAATATCTATGATATTAACTATCTCATCGATGCTTGAAGTTCCCTGCTTGAATATTCCTTTTCATCTTTCTTTTCAATATCATCTCACCAAAATAGTAAGCTTAATAATTTAATTGATCACCTAGAACTCATTAACTCCCAACACATAAGTAGAACTTGTTTTTTCCTGTGTATGGTCGACATTTGCTAGGGGAATTCTACAAACCGTCCGTATGCATTTTTGCATTTTTGTTTCTCCTGAAAAAGTGTCACATGTCTGTAATACAAATATCCATTCAGCTCCAGCATGAACTATCCAAGTGGTTTATTGTGGTTGTTTGTTAGATCTTACCTAGATTAGTGCTTGGTAGATATTGAAACTTTAAAGCTGTTTCTGATCTTCACTATTTTCAAATGACATTATCAGGTTGCAAAAGAAAGTGCTGATATTATAGTGCTTGATGACAACTTCAGGACAATTGTGAATGTGGCTAAATGGGGCCGTTCTGTATATATAAACATTCAAAAATTCGTGCAATTTCAGTTGACTGTCAATGTTGTGGCTCTGATGATCAATTTTATTTCTGCATGCGCCTCAGGTATTCATTGCTTTGATTGAGTTCATTCAATTTTTTTATTGCGATCTGTGTATTAAAGAATCAAAACTCACACTCTCGGAGAGGGAGGAAGGGGGAGAGAGAGAGAGAGATCGGGCACGGAATTTTAGAAATAAAGAAAGATTTTTTAAACTTATGGTCTGAAACAAGTCATTGGTATTTGTGTGATTATAAATCATCTCATTAAGAATAAAATGGGAAGCTTAAAGTTAAATTGTTTTAAATATAAATAGGTATCATTCTTTTTGGGACAGAATAAAATGGAAATAGTATCTGAATACTTCTCTGCTGCAAACACTTTCAGGATCTGCTCCTCTCACTGCTGTTCAGCTGCTTTGGGTCAACCTTATCATGGATACTTTAGGTGCATTGGCACTGGCCACTGAACCACCCCATGATGGACTAATGAGTCGGCCTCCTGTTGGAAGGGATGTGAGTTTCATTACAAAGACAATGTGGAGAAACATAATAGGACACAGTATCTACCAGCTGGCTATACTCTTAACCTTCAACTTTGCCGGAAAGCAGATTTTGAGACTTGAAGGTTCAGATGCTACAAAAATCCAGAATACCTTCATTTTTAACACCTTTGTGTTTTGTCAGGTATGTATTTTATATTCAATTATTTATTCTATCAAGCCAGCTTTTATCATGAGCACTGTATCTATATACCAGCAGCAGTCCTTTTCAGTTCATTCTTTAGTGCTCTGTACTAGTATAACGAAAACCCGATATAGAAGATACCAAATTCTATTGAAAAGTGGATTTGCATTCTCATACGGAAGGACCTTCACTAACCTGCTGACTCTTGGTTGGTTCCGTACAGGTGTTCAACGAAATAAACAGTCGTGATATGCAGAAGATAAACATTTTCCGTGGCATTTTTAGCAGCTGGATTTTCTTAGGAGTCATGGTTGCTACAGTTGTTTTCCAAGTTATCATCGTCGAGTTCTTAGGCACTTTTGCCAGCACTACACCACTTAGCTGGCAACTATGGCTGATCAGTGTCTTGATTGGTGCTGCAAGCTTGATCGTTGCTATTATTTTGAAGTTGATCCCTGTCGAAAAGGAGACTTCTAAGCACCATGACGGCTATGATCTGCTACCAAGTGGTCCAGAACTTGCCTAGGAGTGTGGTAATCAAATGCATAAGAGATATATGGTTTGCTTGGTCGAACTTCGGATGCTACTAGGTCTGTTTGAGCCTTTGAGGTGAGTACGAAAACAAAACAAATGGAAAGAAATACAAAATAAAGACATAAAACAGCTAAATTTACCTTCTAACCTCCAAGTTCCACTTGAAAGTTCTTGGTCGATTCTCGTCTCTTTTTGTGCACAGGTGCTTGAGTAGTTGGGAATTCATTACTTGTTTGATGGAAAAGCTACTTTTCTTTCTTTTTGGTTTGTGAAGAAAATATTCATGAGAAGGCCAGATTTTGAAACTTTGCACTCACGTTGGTCACGTATTGCTCTGGAAGTGTTTATAGGTTGAAACAATTGAAATGAGAGGAGTAATTTCCTGCTTGATCCACTGTTATGTTTTGACAAATTCTCACTCGGATTTAACATTTGTTTGCCTTCTTGTCTATTTGTTCATCCCCAAGCTTTCTCTAATACATTGCTTTGTTATTCCTCTTGAGATTCATTTATTTTTTTAATGCATTTCATTCGTTTATCTAGTGATGGTTGTTTTTGGTTGAACCATTCAGTACCCGAAGTTCACTGGTCCCACTAATATGATTTGCATCGAGCAGGCCCACTAAGGTGGTAAAATTCTCTTAAGCGAAGGTTCTCTATTCTCTTCGTCTAAATTCATCCACTCATGGAATTTGTCTGTCATCCCAGTCATTCACGACATTTATTTATATTTACTTGTGTTGCTAGGTCTCGACTTCTTCACTAAGATTTTCCCAATAATTTATATGATAGTCTATCCAACCGATTTATTGAATGTCCAAATTTAGAAGCTGTTTGGCCATGAATTTTATTCACTCTTTTCCGGAATAATTTTTCACTTTATTTCACAATCGGTGTTTGGTTATAAAATTTTCAAATTCAACTTGGAGTGAGATTCCAAATTTGAAGTTCTCCAAAACTGTTTTTCAGTTCCATCTTCATAAATTCCAAATAAAGTGCTCTCTTTTCTCCTTTGCATAAAGTATAACCAAACACAACTCCAACATCATAAATTCCAAATAAAGTAAAAAAAGTTTGTAACATATGGCCAAACGCCTACTTATATAAATTCACGGATATATTTATAAACCAAATTAAAGCATAAGGCCCAAATGTGTTCATTCGTCAGTAAAATTATAGTGTACTAGGTTTGGACCACGAAACTGAAAACAGTAACCTTTGACGAAATATTTGGTGAGAGAGAAGTGGTAGAATTACATGTTACTCCAAGCGATGTTACTGTAACTAAAATGTTACTCACTTTAGGAACAAGAAGAGTCTTATAGGCTCGGGGCTTTGGTCTAGTGGCTGGAGTGTAATATGTGATATGTAGATTAGGTGCATGTCACGGGTTTGAAATTTGAATGCTGTCATAGACAAAAGGTCTGGTATTTAAGTGGAAAATGGTAGAGGAGCGAGCTGTCACAAACAAAAGCCTCGTATTTACGTGGAGAAAGGTAGAGAGACAAGAGCGGACCCATTATCCACCAAGTTTCAAACGCATCTTTATAGTTCCTTTACATTCTTTAAGCATAAATGCAGGCCTAACAATCTCATCATCAACAGAAAACTGAGAAAAATGGACAACTAACATAGCACAACCGCAAAAAGATATCAAATAAGACATTAGATTACTTTAGTGTAATAACATCAAGAGTCTGATACAAATCCATACATCCTAACATCTGGATGTAAAGATTGCAGCTGATGAATGAGAACAATCCCCTGACTACCAACCCCTTTTCTATATCCTATCTGTCTACGCGCTACAACATTGCAGTGGAATCTGTTTTAAGTCTACGATGTCTCTAAACTTCTAGAAACAAAAACTATGGGGCTTCATTGGAGAAGAAACAAAGACCGAATGTCAGCTCATTTGTATCTTCTTTTGGCTTCTCCATAAGCAACAACCCCCATCACAGTCATCGTATAGCCCGCAATTCCAATAAAAGTTACAGGATTTCGGAAAAGAAGTATCGATATAACAACAGCCACAGCGCCTTTTGCATTTCCTAGGACCTACAGAAGTTGACAGAGTATGAAGATGTTTAGGACGAGTCAAAAGCAATGGATACCACTATTTACTGTGTATATTGATGTAAAATTGCATGAATAATTTCGGAGAAATTACTTACTTCTCGTGTTAGAACTACAACAACAACAACAACAAAAAACACAGTATAATCCCACGAGTGGGGTCTGGGGAGGGTAGTGTGTACGCAGACCTTACCCCTACCTTGAGGTTGAGAGGTTGTTTCCGATAGACCCCCAGGAATCTGGTGTTAGAACTATTTCAGAAAATTAATTGGTTGTGACCTAATATTAAACTCCATTTTATTGCATATTTAACAATATACATAAGGATCTTTTGATAATTAAACAACAGGGGCAGAGCTAGGTTCAGGCAAGGCTGTATTTGAATCCACGAACACTGTTCAAATAGAGCAAAATCGGATTTTTTTTGTTATATACTCCCTATCAAATGCACTGGTATGTTTAGTTACCTGGAGTGTCAACGCACTGGTATGCTTTGTCACCAAAAAGTTCAGCAAATTGGCTCCATATGCCATCGCCGAATTGACCAAAATAAGTAGGCCAAGGTATCTATGTTCTGTTGCAAGTGTCGTAGTAACATCTATCACATTGGGCTCCATTACGAGTGTTGCTGGCAATAAAACTAGAACGGCAATTGGTGACATGTAAAGCAGCAGATTCATTGAGTTCAACTTTTCCCTGTAAAGAGAAGGCAGGTTGGAATGAGCTGGTACAAAGTATCAGCGAAACAAATGCATGAGATAATAACTTCATCAACCAAATACACACGTCAAATGGCTAATTCTATTCCTATTAATCAAGTAAACCTAGGTTAACACTGCTTCAGACCATAAAGGCTTTTGAAGATTCATCTCAAAGGAAGGTGCCCTAATGGGGTCGTTTGGTTGGGAAACAAGTTAATAATTATTATTTATCCCGAGATTAGTTATAGGGCCTCCCATAGGGATTAAAACACTACAATCCCGGGATTAGTTATACCATGATTTTATCCCAATCAAACGTGGGATTAACTCATTTCAAATTTTATCCTGGGATTAATTATCCCTTATCCCTTGTACCAAACGAGCCCTAAATATTTTAACGCTTCATAGATGACTGGTAAAGTTTTGGAGCAGAAGAAGAATCTCAATCTCTAATCAGATACAAAATACCAAACTTTCTATTCTCTTGAATACCATCCTTAGCCAACTCACAAATTCAGAATTGAACAGAAAATGACTAAACTTGAAATAGCTAAGTAGCAAAAGACTAGCAACAACAATAACAACAAACCCAGTGAAATCCCACCAGTGGGGTATGGGGAGGTGTGTGTATGCGAACCTTACCCCTACCTTATAAAGGTAGAGAGGTTGTTCCCGAAAGACCCTCGGCTCAAGAGCAGTGAAAATGAAACAATAGACAAACAATAGCAACGAAGTAGCAAAAGATTAGAGAAGTAGAAAAAGCTGGAAGAAGAAAGATTGTTTAAATGTTGAATTATATTTGCAGTATTATCACCAAGCCCAACCAAAACACAAAAGAATATGCAGTACTGAAACAAAGAAATGACATAAACCTACACCAGAAGGAAATCGGCGCACCCTGTCATCATATACTGTCTCTTATCCTTGGTAATTCTATTCCAAAAGTGCAACATCAGCGCAGATGTTTAGGAAAACAAAATACTTACCCTTCAGAGGAAAGAAGGACGCCCTGAAGAACGGACTTAAACGCTCTAGCAGCAGTTGCACCTATACAATTGATGAATCCATAAAGGTGGAAGCTAGGCTCCCCTGTCATCAATCCACATACTTGTCATTCCATCAGAAAAAACTGATCATGCACTTAAAATTGCTAATAAAGAGGTATCTTATGTAGTTCCCAATAATTTAAATTATAAAAGCAGTTGAAAAAATGTTCGACGTGATGCCTCAACTAACTTTCATGATAGCCTATTCATTACACAACTGTGACTATATTATTAACTATTAACTTTCACATTCCATGAACAAGAACAAAAGTGTCATTACAAGCTATGTTGCTCGAATCCTCCGACAATCCTGCTCTACTGTGTCGGTTTCTCCAAAAAATGAATAACTTTTGGAGGATCCGACACCACCTGGTGGCATTTTTGAAGGATCCGAACAACATAGATTCCAAGTCAGCTTCTTTGAATATCATCAATACAAACTTCAACCAAGTAACATTTTGTTCAAAAAAGCATAATCTTTACGACAATTGAATAGAATTTCACAACAAACAAAATTCTCATTCCAAAGAACGATGACAACAACAACAACAACCCAGTAAAATCCCACAAGTGGAGTCTGGGGAGGGTAGTGTGTACGTATACCTTACCCCAACCCCGAGGGAGGGGTAGGGTAATCATAAGCATTATTACTGCTACAAATTCTCAGATCTAACAAATTTGCACTAGCAAGAGTTAACCTTCAAAGAATTTTTTTTAAATGTTAAACAACCAAAGATTTCTCAAGATCCCAAAAAGCTCATAATTAGATTTCTCTTTCTTCAAAAATTTAAATCAAGAACAGATCAAACCAAATAAAACACAAAACTAACAAAAAAAAAACTAACAATTGATCCAAAATTAAAGATTCAAACTTTAAGTAAAAAATATTAAATTTATAAACATACCCCACTTGCAATAACAACACCAGCAACCACAGGAACAAGACAACCATAAGTAATCCAAGCTTCCCTCTTCAGTGTTATCAAATAAGCAAACAATGCAGTAAAAAATGGTGTTGTAGCACCCACAGCTTGATTAAAAGAAACAGGTAAATATCTTAAAGAAATATTACCACCTACTACAGACCCACAAAAGACAATACTAAGTGTAGCAATTCTAAAAAACTGAGATCTTGATTTAATCCTTTGAAAAGGTACAATCTTTAAGAAAACAATTGAGACATAACTAAGAACAGCACAAGCTGACATATGACACATAGTTAAGAAAATTGGGAAAGAGAAACCATAATTGGAAAGTAAAAGTTTGTTTAAAAGGAGGACACCAATGTTTGATGAGTACCAGAAAATTATAAGTGAGGTAATGAAAAGTGCTTGTTTTTCTGATTGTGTTGTGGACATTGTTGTGGGGGTGGTAAAGGGGGTGGTGGGGTGGTGTTGGAATTTGTGTTGAGGAAAAGAGGTTGTTGTTGTTGTTTCATTCATGGAATTTGAAGGTTTGATGTGAATGTATATTTGTGTTTGTGTTTCTTGATTTGTTGTGACATGATTTAATTTTGTGTAAAGAGGGTGGCTTTGGTTTGATTTGTGGGTTTTTTGTGTGTTTGGGAACTGTTGTAGGGATGTGTGAAGCTGACAGAAATTGAGAATATGATTTGTCATTGTGTGACTTTTGTCCTTCCCTCTTCTGACCCTAACATTCCTAAATATAATTATTTTTTAACTATGTGCTATTTGAGGAAGATGAGTCTTGGGGTAAATGACAAAGTCGTTGCTGCCATGTGATCAGGAGGCCACGAGTTCGAGTCGTGAAAACAACATCTTACAGAAATGCAGAGTAAGGCTGCATACGATAAACCCTTGTGGTTTGGCCTCTCCCCAGACCTCGCGCATGGTGGGATCTTTGAAGGAGGGAGCTTTGGCGAAACTGGTAAAGTTGCTGCCATGTGACTCTAAAAATAACACGGTCTAGCTAGTTTTCGAACTGGTCATTCCAAAATAGCCAGCGTTTGCCAAGTCATTGAAAAATAGCCACTATTTTGCTGTAACAGAGACCGGTCCAGCATAATATATTGGAGTTCGGTGCACCTGTGTATGAACTTCCAGAATATTATGCTGGACCGGTATACTTTGCTGGGTCCAGTATAATATACTGGAGACTGGAGCATCAGTGCTCCAAACTCCAGTATATTATGCCGGACCGGTATATTATACTGGAACTCCAGTATATTATGCTGGAGTATTTTTTCGGATTTTGAACAGTGTTTTCGTTCAGATTTATCTTTACATGAAAAATGGCTAAAATTCGATTACTTTTAAAACTGTGGCTGTTTTTGAATGATCACTTGTAAATCTGGCTATTTTTGAATTTCTCACCATGTGACCAGGAGGTCACGGGTTCGAGCCGTGCAAACAATCTCTTGCAAAAATGCATGGTAAGGTTGCCTACAATAGACCCTTGTGCTTCGACCCTTCCCCGGACTCCGTGCATAATAAGAGTTTAGTGGACCGAGTTGCTCTTTTATGTGATATTTGAAATTTTATCGTTAATTCAAATTCGGTTTGTGTATAACTCATCAAGGGAAGAAGGCTTCCTATCAAGAGTTTTTTTTTATTATTCGAGCTCGAATACAAGACCTAAGAAGGGATCATATCTATTTCATCACGTTATTTTGAAGATTATGATTATTCCTTACATGTATTAAATCCATAACTATACATCAACAAAGAGGGCGGCATAATAGTTGAAAACTTCCCAATCTTAACTATAGGTCTATGGGTTCGTGCCTCGAAATACAAAATCCCTCGGCATAAAGTTAGAGGCGGATCTAGAATTTAAACTCTATGGGTTTAGCCTTTAAAGTTCTTAGTATTTAATTCAATATAGGCCGAAAGTTATGGGTTCCTATTCACCATTTATTTCAATTTCAATGAATTTTTGCATATAAATTTGTGCTTCGCGATAGAAGTTATGAGTTCAATTAAATCCGTTGTTATATGACTACATCCGCCTCTGCATAAAGTATATCTTTCTTAGGGAATTTACACGATGCGAATCGGATTAGCCAAACAATCAACTTCGAGCATCGAATATAGTTAAAGAAAATAATAAATAAATATTATAATTTTATTTGTCAAACAGGAAGAAAACATATTTTTGACTGTTTACGAGAATATGCTATTTATAGCATGTGCATGTGAAAGTGCAGAAAAGAATATTGGTCCTTGTTAGGAAGTGATGAGAAATATACTTTTTAAGGAAAGTATTATTCTCAATCCAATATCTATAAAAATGACATTCGTTTGGTACGAGGGATAATGAATAATTAATCTTGAACTTAAATTTGATATAGTTTATCTCACGTTTGGTTGGGATAAAATCGTGATATAACTAATATTGGAATTGTAGTATTTTTTATCCCTATGAAATAATTGAATAACTAATCCCGAGATAATAACTTATTTCTCACCCAAACGACCCCCGAAGGTAAAGTTACCACTCCAAAAGTTTTGATTTGTGACTCTTGCAAATAACTTTTAAGTCTAGAACCAATGAGTAAAGCAAGAATTAGTTTCACAATAGCTTATCTGAAAAAAATGTTAAGTCTTTTTTATAGTTGTATCTTACTATTATTGAAAAATGGGAAGGTTTTTTATTACAACAACAACGATGTACCTAGTGTAGTCCCACAAGTACGATTTGAAAAAAATAATGTATACGCAATCTTATTCTTATATTGTAAAGTTAACGAGCCTGTTTTTGATAGACTCTCCGTTCGAAAAAAAACATATAAAGAAAATAAATCACGTAATGGGAAACATTAACAACAACAAGAAAATAAAAAAACCAAAACAAAAGAAACAACAAATAGTATTATAAATCTAAGGATAGAAAATATAAGAATACACTAGTTATAAGTATAAAAAAATAATACATGTATGAAAATTGTCTTTATCAAAATATTAAAAAGATCAAATCAATTAAAGAGCAAGATTAATAGGTTAGCATAGGTGTTGGAAAAAAAAAAGGAAATAAATGAAACACTACCTCTCATAAAAAAAATACGAGGTACTGGTTTTAAATTTTTTCTGTGAAAATAGCACGAGCTAGCTAGTTTTCGGATTGATAATTGAAAAATAGTCAGCATTGACAAAGTCATTGAAAAATAGTCACTATTTTACTGTAACACGGAAAGTTCCAGCATGTGCACCTCTTTATTAACTTACAACATATTATGTTGGAACTCCAACACACTGAAAGTTCTAGCATAATATACTGGAGATTAGAGTACCTGTATATGAACTTCCAGCATATTATGCTGGAATTCCAGTACATTATGATGGAAGTTCACATGTAAAAAATTCGAACTCCAGTATATTGTGTCGGAATATTTTTCAGATTTTGAATAGTGTTTTCGTTCAGATTTACTTTTGAAGTTGTGCATATTTTTCAATTACCACTTGTAAATCTGGCTATTTTTTAATTTCACCCATTTTTTCTTTTTCTTTTTCTTTTTTGGCAAGATCAAACGTCAGCATAAGTGGGGCCCCCTAATCCGGTTTTAAGGAATCAGATAGTGGACCCAATAATTCCCCTAAATCTTCCACGTCACAAATATTCACCAATTCCCATTTTATTAGCCCTTAAACTTTCACTTATTTACAGTCATACCCTTCTTACTCTCTCTATACGCTATACTAAGCATTATTTAGCTGTGTAAAAATCACCATTCTTAGCATTTTCCATTTCTTCTACCTCACTACCCACCCACCCCCACCCCCACCCCCCTCTTCTTCTAATTTTTTTTGGGGTCTTAAAACCCTTTACCCCATTTCATTATTGGGTTTACAAATGCTTATAGAATTTTCAGGTATTTCGTTTTTACTACGTTACACATTTCGTATTATTAGCTACATTTTGAACTAGTTTTATTTCCTCTTTATTTTCTATTAATACGATTTTGCGCATGCTTTACTGAAAAGTGTTAGTTGTTTTGTTTCATTAAGTTTGTTTAACAGTTTTCTGCAAAACGAGAATTTTTTTTGGTTTTGTTTATGCATGTTTAAGGGTTCAAAATTTTGTATATAGACAAATCTATATTTCAGTATGTTTCTTGTTTTGAGATGGTTTTTTCATGAACATATTTTAGTTTGTGTTTTTGAGGTGGGTGTCTGAGTTTTTTTTTTTTTT